AAAATGCTGAGGTAACATGTCATATGTTGTGTTCCCACATCACTTATTTCACAAAAACAACTAACTAACTAACAAATGCTTGAACCCAAAGTTGCACCCATAATTCACGTCAAGTATCATGGGGTTAGGAATAAGATAGAAACTGTGTGTATCTGCAACATCATGGACAACATAACTGTATAATATGTTGGTTGTGGATCATATACTGACTTGCATGTCTGCTGAAATAATTTGCTAAACGATGGGACTACATACACAAAGAAACATGAATATTCTTTCAATGTACTTTTAAAGCTGCATAATCGAGTTCTGGCAAATAGACAAACTCCAAAACAAACTAACAGACACACAGCCATGGGTTTTTATCATGAATGCTAACATATTAGCAAACAATGAACAAATTCTGATTAATACTGCTTTCAGTATTATCAATTGTAATATCTGACAATGAAAATATTCCATGAGTAACTACTAACTGCAGAGTAGTCAGTCTGCTTCCTGTTTACACTGGCTCACGCATGCACAGTGATGTGCGTTTTTAGGTGTGATAGTATGGACAGAGATGACTTCTGATACACAGCTAAAATGGTTGTTTGGATGGAGACTGTTTTTCCTTTTAAAATGAAAACGTGGTAGTGTGGACCTAGCTTTGGTTTCTATTTGTGGTGGTAGGTGACCAAGGAGGGCAGGGGGAGGGTTTTGTTGATCGTTTCATGGCCTGTGTTCTTGGTTGTTGATACACTGAGGAAAAATGGAAAGGAGCCATGAAATAAAACCGCTTCGTCCAATTGAATTTCTTCTGGCAGACAGAATTTTTCACCTCTTGTATTACAACACATCATTTTCACGTTCAATGAGACAGAAAATAATTTAAGTAAACAACGCAGTGGAGAAATTCAAGTAGAATTTGCAAGTGGACTACTCATTCTAACACATTCGCTCAGACATTAGTGCACACACTTGTGTTATGACGTTACACCTGAAAGCTTTTTGCATATGAGAGTTTCATTAAGTTCTTAAGCAGTGGGTGGATTAGGTGTAGTTACAAAACTATTGGGAGTTTTCGAACATACTTTTACAAGTTATCAATGCTAACGCATCTGAGAGAGTCAGTTAAATTTCAGACTTGGACGTACTGTGAGGAGAGAAGACTCAGGAGAGGTCTCAGGGAAGTCTTCCAACTTGATACACAAACGACATTCTCCTCATCGCAAATGATGAGGCCTCTGACTTCCTGATGCAGTTGCAATTCTCGTCATCTGCTTCGCTCACTGTTCACCGTCGTTATTAATCATAATTGGCATTTGTAATGAAACTTCACTTTGCCAAGCCAGCTGATCAGGTTACACGGCACAAGCTTGTCTTTCCAGTAATGGGAGCCTGGATCCAGTTATTACAACAGTGTCTGCCTTGATATGACAGCGGCTGCAACACTGTTTGAATCTTTTTGAAAATGACAGCCGCATGTTTAATAGGAATCTGATGCATTTATTTCCATGAATTTCCATGAATATCTGAGGTGATGGAGGCTGACACAACAAACCCTGACTGCTCTTCACAGACATGTTAAACCATATACTGGTGCGCGTGCACACACACACACACACACACACACACACACACACACACACACACACACACACACACACACACACACACACACACACACACAGAAAACAAGCAGAGGTTTGATGACTCTGCCTCTATTAGTCCTGATATTTTGTTATGAAACATTATTTTTTGAGTTTTTTTGTTTTTCTTTTCTCTTTAAAAAGCAAATACAGCAGCTGCAGTGATAAGCTGTGAATTTGAACAAAAAAAAAAAAAAACCGCAAGGATGGATTGTTTCTGTTAGTTTAATATTCACACTTGTGGTCACTGGAGATGAAAATAAATGTTCTATGTTTACACACAGACATTATAAAGATTTAAAGGAATATATAAACTTTAGATACATTTGTCCTGGCGTGAAATGTCATAGTATATGCTAATATATATATTTTTCGGATCCAGTCATGCCTCTCTAATGAAATGTCAGCATATCTCCTTCTGCCTCTTGTTGCCTAATGCAGCGTAACATTGAGTCCTTGGCTGCATAATCTGCAGAAATGAGAGCTGCGTGTTATTAGTTATCTGAGACAGTTTAGCTGCTACATAAATGTAAAGTGTTGGAGCTTACAGAGTTTACAAGAGTTTAGACAGAGACATTATCCTCTTGAGCAGTTATAATGCCACTGTACAAATCCCAAAAAGCAATGCAGAATGATGGAAACTTCTTACTTGCACCCTAACCTTAGGTGACTGTGAAATGACAAATCATATTTCTTCTAGAAATGTTTCAACATCCTGCATTTCACAGATAAGCTTTCTCAGGTATTCATCACTGTTATGATGTCTGTGGGGTAGAAAAAACGCCTTTAATCCAAGCCCAGCAAAGAAAAACAACTCTGTTCATAACAGGGAAAAGCAAAGGATTAAGAGCTAAGAAGAGGCGTGTGACAACTTTTTAAGAAAGATAAGACACTTGAAACATGTTTTTTAAGGCTATTAATCAATGCTCATGACATGATTTTTAAATAAAACACTCACACACATTATCTTTACACAGGGCGAATCATGTATTTCTATGAATTCTGTGTGATACGGATAATTAATGAAACCAGCTCATTTCAATAAAGACAAAGAGTGGGTTGGCACACCATAGACATAAATAGGATATAATGCAATCCAATGCAATCAACCTGTAATGAAATCTACCCTTTGCAAAGCTTTGAGTTTTTGTGGTGACCGGTCAGACAGATGTTAATTTGTTGAATCTCCTGGCCAATGTTGATGAGAGTCTACTTGTACCCTTTGCTGAAAGCAAATTCTCAGTTGGCCAATGTTATAATAATCTTTTACCCTTTTTAAAGGCTGTAGTAATATATTTTTTATAGCTTCTATTACAGCAGTTTATTCATTCATTCATTAGATAGACCACTTATCTTCTTAGGGTCTCAGGGAATAACCCTGACAGGTCACCAGTCTATCACAGGGCTGTCAAACAAACATTCACAATCACATTCACACCTATGGGCAATTTAGAGTCACCAATTAACCTTAGAGTCGCCAATTAACCTGGCCTGCATATCTTTACCCAGAGGAAACAGCAGTGTAGTTTCTTCAAAATGACTATTCCTTTCATGATGTCACCTTTTATATTCGAGCCACCTCCTGCACATCGCAAAAGTAATTATACTGGGATTTTGTGAACTGAATACCAACAACCCACCCCACAGTAAGTAAAGCAACAAATGGAAATTCATGTGCAGCCGCACTAAAAATAAGTAATGTTTAATTAACAGTCCATCAAGACCTGTGCCTGTGCAGCTCTGTGTACGGGTGCAAGTCTAATGATGGATAATGATGACTTTCCTCAGCACAAACATTGCAGCAGGGAGGCTGTCCACCAGTTCGTCAATAATTTAACCAATGATCAGTACATTACACTTTCATGTTATTATTCTCATACAGACAGATGACTGTAAGATGCTTCCAAATGAATGTACTTTTCAAAAATAATAATAATGATAATAATAATAAATACTACATGCTCCCACACACTTCTGCCAGTTATGTTTCATATTGCATTTGAGTGGAGTAAGAGCGTGAAAATAGTGCACCCACACAGTTTTTGGCCTCTTGTAGTTCATTGTTTTGGTTTCATGGTACAGATAAACTGACTACCTGCCCGGCACCAAATGGCAGATTAAGAGACAGGCTCTTGAAGAAAGCGGATAATCTGGCTAAAGAGTCAGATATTTCCCTCAGGAGTTGGTCCAAATCCATCCAGAGCTAAAAGGAGATTGATTGTTGGACTAATATTCTTGAAGTGGACAGAAACATGACTCAAAATGGGATGGTAATGTTGCTCTGCTGAATAATAACAGCTTTGTAGGGTGATAATATGTCAAGACGGTGAGTTATTCTGCTCCCTAGTGGCCGCAAATCTGCAAATGCAGCTTTAATGACAACACACATATTCAAGTTACAGAAGAACAGAGACCTCAGACAGTTGCTGGTTGAATTCTTCATGCATCAGTTTTAAACAGCCAGTGAATGATGTCATTTTCCAGTGTTTGCATGGGGAAGACACATCAATAGTCTATCACCAAGACTAAGAGAAAAGCATCTGACACCATTTCATGTATGTAACACCAGCACAAGCAATGATGTCAAACATTAACATCTCTGATACAGCCACAACAAAAACAAAGAATGAGCATTTAAGCAATCAGAGAGGTACAATGAAGGAGTGTAAGGTTTTACCGTCATTTCTCTGTGAAAAATTTCAGTGTTTAGTCCCTTATAAAGCACATACAGTATAATACACACGCTCTTACACAATGTGATTCCACTTTCTCAGTCAGTGAATGCTAATCACTCTGGAATTTACGTATGAGAATCTCCGCCTTGAGGGATTTTGTGCAATCTGCAGAAACACCACTAGTATATAAAGAAACGTTGTCTCTGGAGTTCTTTTACAATCTCTTTTCAATGAGATGCTATTATCTCTTTCATTCTTTGCCAAACACAGATGGCTAACCATGCTAACCATATGTCCATACTTGCAAAGAATGGCTTGTATTTTTTCACAAAAGAGGTTTATATATGTTTTTTTTCTCTCGTGTACATTCATACTTCAGTCTTCTATGTGCCGAGAAGCTTCTCTTGAACATTTTTACGATGAGTGCCCGGTTTGTTAGCAGCTCAGTAGTGGTTCTTGAGTGTATACAAAATATTACACTCAACTCTCAAGGTATTGCAATGGACATGAACTTTTAATTAAACCTTACCCTCTGCTTTCTCTGAAGAAATGTCACTTTCAGCTGGCCATGCACTCTGATGCCTCTGAGGAATATATCTGAGGAAAGTTTTACATACTGTAAGTGTTTCTTCCGAGGCAAAACCATTGTACAAGATTGGATGCTCACAGTTCCTACATCGCCTCAACACACCAATCAAACAGCCTCTCCTTTAACCCCAAGAGAAAGACGCAAGACCTTAGCTGACCCGTGAGTGGAGGAATTCTGCGGCACTGGAGTTCGACTTGCTGAGAAACACCACACCTTCAGCAGACTCTTACTCTGGATTTGTGCACTTTGAGCCTGATCTGGATCGCCGACAGATGGCGAGGACGCTGTCAGGGCCCTGCAGCAACACCATGAGGAAACAGTGGCACTGTCTTGGGCTGAGGGATAAGAGGAATTAGATGTGGGGACTGAACTGGAGATATAGGTGGTGGTGTGTCCTTGAGGTTTGGCAGTTCTCAGGCAGTGACCGCGGAGCACGTTGTGGAAGGCCTTCTTGAACTCCCGACTGAAGCACGGGTAGATAACGGGGTTAATGCAACTGTTGAGGTAACCCAGCCAGAAGGTTATTTTAAAGATGATTTCAGGGGGCTTACAGGATGGGAAGATGGATCCTAGAGAAAACACACAATTAGACAAATCAAAATATGAATGAAAAGAGACACTATACAGCACTAACACATAATGTTCCAGGAAGAATCAGAAAGCACTTAAGAGAGCCATTACATCTGCCAAGGCTGAACAGGCCTCTGAATTTAAAGTATTATAAAAATAGTTTAAAGTCTGGATTATTCATCTTTATATCATATATAATATTTATAAATTTATAAAAAATATATAGAAAATTGACCACTGAGTTACACTACATGGCCAAAAGTATGTGGACACTCCTTTTTATATACTTTATACCGTGACTTATTTTTTCTGGTTAAGGCCTTTTAGGTCCAGTTAGGGGAAAATTTTACACTATAGGATACAAAGATGTTTCAGACAACAGTGTACGTCCAACTTTTGAGTGAGATCGTTTTCTGTTTCAATCATACTGTGGACTGTAAATAAAGATGGACATAGCCTCCGTACAAACTTAATTTTTCAGCCCCGGAGGTTGCTGCTTGGTTTCAATGTGACAATGCTTCCATGCACAAAGCCAGCTCCACTCAGCCTTGCTGCTAGCTAGCCCCAGTGGCCACTCGCAGTATAGCAAGGAAAGAAATCCCTACAGATCACCACTTTAAAAAAGACATCCATAAAAATGGTCGACAAGAAGCATTGAACTGCAAACGCATGGGAAACACAAATGTGCATGTGCAGGTGGCCACACAACACAGAACAAAAACCTAGAGGCTAGAAAACTTTTCTGGCTCATGTGCTTGGTGAGCAATTTTTATTCGAGCCAGTGGGCCCCATTTTGAGTCCGGTATGCAGTTCTTGTAATACATCCAAAATGTACAGAATGTAGGATTAACTATTTATTTTTTTAAACTAGCTTTGAAAATCTTTTATGACAATGGAAATGCATTCACACATTAGACCTCAAAGATATGCACAATGTGAGAAACACATCAGAGGCTTTATAGGAAAACTCACACACAGGGCATGTTTACATAAATCATGTTGATGTGGCACCACTTATCATTCAAATGCTATTACATTTTACAGGATTGCTAGGAGTTGATATGTGCACATATCTTCTATATGTGGTTACAATAACTACACAAAAGTCACGCCTCCAAAAATTTGGAAATAAATTATTTGAAAACATTTTGATACATCAAAACACAAAAGAATAACGGTTCAAGGGACCTTTATTCAAATCTGTGGAGCAGGTTTGTAGATATTATTCTAATAAACATGCAAGTTCATAGTACAAGACCAAAAATATATTGATGGAGAAAATAGAAGTTGTTAAATTTCAGTCTGATTGGTCTGATTTTCACCAATTCTGATAAAAGCAGTGATTCATAGCTGCTTCACATTGTGTGTATGGAGCCGCAGACACCTCCTATTATGAGCTCTGTCAGCATACTGTGCAAGTGATGGCAGCATGGTTGCACCTACAGTTAAAGGTGGGCAGCCAGAAAGTGCTTCAACACAAAACAGGCTGTTCATCTGAAGAGCTCAGAATTAATGAAAAATAAAATATTCAGTGGTTTTTCACACTCTCAGTCTGGGAATCTCAGACTATCATTGCCTCAGAGCTTGAATCAGCGCTGTGCTGTGAGCCATGAAGGTCTGTCTCAATTGAAATGCATAACTATTCTCGGATGACCGTCTGTCGGGTGACTGAGGATGCCTCCTAGCATTACAGCCCATTAAGCCCCATGCTTGTTATCTGTAACAGCTTTCATAAGAGGGAGCAATAGTTTGGTTCATTCCATTTCATCTCACAGTAGAAGCCTATTCTGCTCCGATGTGGTGTTTCATTTGGTCTGTCTGGTTGCTTGTAATTGAATTTCTTCATGTCCCTTCTGAGAAACTCAAGCAGCGGAGTCAAGGCACGGTGGGGAGGGAGGACGGTCCTGCCTGATGTTGCGTTCAGAGTAAAAAGTATCATAAAGCAACATTATACAAATGACTCAGGGGGGCAACAGCTTTTGTATCACAGTAGTTGTAGCTACAGGAGGGCTGCTCTTACTTCTGCAGTGTGGCTCCAGATTGAAACATCTCAATGACTATTGTATGGATTGCCATACACTTGGTAGAGATATTCATGGTGCCCAGAAGCTGCATTCTTTATTTCTTTGGCGCCTTATCCCCTGACCTTTCCTGTAGCATCCATAGACTGTATATAAAGTTGGACATAGCATAGCTTGATGTCACCCATACGTTTCTGAAGAGTGGTTTTGAAGCTCAGAGTGACCTACTCCACTGTTGCCGTCTTGGCAGCGCCTGACTCCACCTAACCCTCGGCTAATCCAAAAATGGGCAAAGACGTGGGGCGTGTGTGGAGCCGAGACTTTGTTTCTTTCTCTGGTGCCACCATGTGGTTAATTTGTTGTTCCCAGTGAAGTGTCTTGACAACTATTAAATGGATTGCAATAATATTTGGTACAAAATTCATGCTCCCCTCAGGATGAACTGTAATAAATGGTGATTCTTTAGCTTTTCAATCTTCAATCTCAGATTCAAATTTTAACTTTTATGTCCAAATACCTGTAAAACCAATGACATTCAGCCTAGGCAGTACTTTGTATTTAGTGCTAAATAATAAATGTAAGCATGTTAGAAATAGTAGTTTGACTAAACAAATCCCTACTTGTGGTCCACTCACTACCTTTTTTGGTGCTTTAAAAAAAAGTCCTACAGTTGATATGGTTGAAATCATAACTATTTACCTTGCATGTCAACAGATCCAGCTCCATGACAACCGAGCAAACTCCATTCACTGACTAAGACTATGTGGTATATATAATATGATAATATATACAGTATATTAAATTAGATTTACTTATTGTATAGTGTTAATCCCTCTATTAAAAGACTTGTTATTCTGTTTAGAAGCGACAACAGCTTCCAGTCTTTGGAACTGCAATCCTGTTGTTTACATTTGGATTACACATTGAGGTTTTAATATGGCTGGTTATGAATGGCTGGTTATGAAAAAAGAGTGAAAGATAACACATATTATTTGCCAGATGATGTGTTTAATCCACGACTCCTCCGTCTTGTATCATATACAGGTCGCTCTCTCCGTGAGATTACAGTTTGTGTGAGTGAATACATGTTTCAGCAACGATCTCACCATCTGTGACCTGGGAGGTAACTGCTGACAAACTATTACCCTTAAATACACTCGGTCCACTCTGACAGTCACTTATCTCAGTCAAGCCATGAGAGTTATTTCGAAGGCAATTAAGATTTTAGATTAAGCTTCACAATGGTTGGTTTCTGTCCTCGCTAACACCTCTGATAACATCACTGTTATCATCTTCTTCGACAGAGTCTGACAAAATCTAGGTATAATTTATCAAAGATAAACATAAGACTGTCTGGCTTAGTGGGCATTTACCTATTTCCTGAGCTCCTGATATTGTTAACTGAAGCTCGTATCTCCTGTGAAATTTTACTAGAACAGCAGAAACAACCTTGATTAGTTCATTATTGCTCCTGCTAAAATTCAAATGAACATTTTATATATTTTTCAGAGTGAGGCAGCGTCAAAGTAATCATTAAAGCTCTTCATCATGACATTAATTAATGACATTAATTAATTCTTGAATCATTCAAATCCCCTTTTCAGATTCAGAAAATATATTATTTACTCAAAAATTTCAATATCAGATGAATCACTTCAAGGCCCCAGTTTGTCTCTCATGCTTTATCGTTACATTCAATCTGTTTTATTCTAAAAGATAAAATTAAGGCAAGTCAAGTCAATTCACATCATACATTATCTCAAGACAATTTCCAATCCTCCAAAAACCCTGTTTCTCAAAACTTTTCGTTTAACTGCCCTCTCTGGTAGGGAGTTTCATGCCATGGTATTATAGGTGCGTTCCACTATTGCGGTGCGGACTTAATGTGATCCATGCTGGGCTTGAAACAATACATGCTGGATAGATATTTTGTCTGACTTTCACTAGCGCTGCAGAACGTCACCATGTCACACGATTGTAAAACTTTGCAGGACCAAGGTCGCTGCAGTTTTCTGACTCAGGTGCTGCAGTTGCTCTCCTACTGGGAACCACCTCTGTGACGACTGAACTTTGTCCTGATTGGCTTCAGGCTTCACTGACGTGCATGATGTGTTTTACGATTTTATTCTAAGAATTTCAGATCCGTTAGCCTATCTGCCTCCGTGCTGGCGACAGTCAGGGCCGGAGGCGTAATGTTTCCGTCCGTCCCATTCTCGTGAACGCGATATCTCAGTATCGTCTTGAGGGAATTTCTTCATATTATGCACTTACATTCACTTCGACTCAAGGATGAACTGATTAGATTTTGGTGGTCAAAAGTCAAATGTCACTGTGACCTCACAAAACATGCTTTTGGACATAACCCACAAATTCATACACTAATTATGACACAATTTAACTCAAATGTCCATAAGGATAAAATGAAGTGATGATATTTTATATCCAAATGGTCAAAGCTCAACTTCACTGTGACATCACAATGCTCTGCAAAAACACATCTGGACATTATTCAATGCAGTCGCTAATGAAGGGGAGACTGTGACCACATTTCCTGCAACTTGGCTGGTTGTCGGAGGCGTGCAACTGTGAGGCAGTAATTCTAGTTTACATGTGGGCACCAGCACTTTAGTTTTCATCATCTAGCAAGAAAGCTGTAAAAACAGTTCAGTTCAGGAGTTTGTTTTTGTAAACGTAGTAATGTCCTTGTTATCCTTTATGTGTCTTTTCTTTTCACTGGTGGGCTTTGTTTTTTATTCTCTCTCTTCACCCCCGAACACCTTCACTCATCGCCCTCGACATTTTCATAACACATAACTTTGATTTAATTTTATGAGTCAAAACACTGATGTAAACTTGTGCCTAGCCTGAAAATGTTTCAGACCAGCTTTTTGGGTGAGTAAACAGTGCGTATAGGTTTCGTCTCAGTCCCTTCATACTCCACCCCTGCAGTCACCGGCACCATCAAGTCATCTGAAGTCCAAAACGAACGCACCTGATGACACACCCTGGAGTACACCTCTACATCTCCGGTTTGAAGATGTTCTTTAATGTTATTTTCTGGTATTTTATATTTTCATACACTCACACTGCATTTCTTGTGTATGAAAATCTGGACTAATGGAAAGTAACAGTTAATCTAGATAATTGTATCTAATAATGACACTTTCATTTGCAATATTATTTAGAATTCAGCAGGTTGAAAAGTCTTTTTACAACGCTGCAGATGGAACATTTTCATTCTACAAATATATTCAAAACAGCACTATGTGTTGTTCAATGATTTTTCTGGGTTTTTGAAAGATTGCCAGGGAATTGTCCTTCAGAAAAACTGACACTTAGCTTTGTGACTTGAATGTTAAACAAATACATGAGGTACAAACTGGGGCTGTGACAGGTTCAGAGCAGAAGAGGTGAGGATGTACCTACCGATGGGTAAGACCAGGAAGAAAGGGAGCCAGCAGAGAACGAAGCACCCGACAACAATGCCAAGAGTCTTGGCTGCCTTCTCTTCTTTGGAGAGCTTCAGTAGCCGCTGCAGGGAAAAGGTGGAGCGTTTATGCCTCTCGCTCCCCTCGTCATCCTCCTGCTTCCCCGTCTGAGCAGCGTTTCCTCTGTGTATCCTCAGCACCACCCCCTCAGTCTCAACCCCTTCCCCCTTACTGCCCCTCCTGATGGTATTTGTCTCCCTCTTCACCACGGTATACACACGGCAGTACATGGCCAGGATGATGGCCAGAGGTATGTAAAAAGATCCTAATGCTGAGAACAAGGCGTAGCCGGGCTCCTCTGTGATTCGGCACACCGTCTCATCCTCCGGGTCGGGCTCCTTCCAGCCAAACAGAGGGCCCACAGATATGGCTGCCGAGAGTCCCCAGAGAGCAGCCACCGCTGTCAGGCCTCGCCGTCCCGTAGCTATAGAAGGGTAACGCAGAGGGTAGCTGACAGCCAGGTAGCGGTCGATAGAGATCACACACAAGCTGAGGATTGAGGCAGTGCAGCAGAGCACGTCCAGAGCGGCCCAGACGCTGCAGAAGGAGCGGCCGAACACCCATCTGCCCAGAGCCTCGGAGGTGGCAGAGAAGGGCAGGACGGCGGAGCTGAGCAAAAGGTCTGCTGCTGCCAGATTGGCAATGAAGTAATGTGTCACAGAGCGCCAGTGGTGGTGGAACAACACTGACAGGATGACTAGGATGTTACCGAGGACCCCGAACACTGCAAACACCACCAGCACCATCCCCAGAACCACCACCTTGGTAACATCCACCTCTGGGTGGGTGGAGGAGCTGCAGTTGGGACAGCGATCTGCAGTAGAGAGAACACTCATGTTCTCAGCAGGAGCCATTGTAATCAGTTGGGTGTATTGAAGTTGTTAAGGGTCTCGCAGATTGCCCACACTCATGTCACATCTGCTCCTCAATTATCACAGGCTCAACCCCCTGCCTTTTCTCCCTGCTCCTCCTAATGCAGGAGATAAAAGCTGTTTATGCTGCACACACTGCTCGTCCAGTTAATTTGCAGATGCTGTGGTTCTTTCCAACTCTCCACTGATCACGTGGCCTTGGCCAGGGTTCCTTGGCAGAGTGACATATTTACAAAGAGAAGCACTGCCACAGTTTGTCATTTTTGAGTCCAGAAAAGCTGAACAGAAAGGACAAATATTCACGTTTTGAGCGGCAGTCGCTGGTGAATTTGGGATGCCACGTTCAGCCATGCCGAAAGGCAGGTTTAGAGCAGGACACCTGTTAAAACAAGAGAAGAGTTAAAGTATATTTAACAACACATTTATAACCCAAGGCTTTTATAAGACCCCCATAAACAGGGTCATTACCACTGACGTGCAGTTCTTTCTTTAGCAACAAAGGAACAAATCAAAACTTCACACGTAAAATATAAATTATCAAAGGCGAACTGTTGAAAAAAATCATTACAGCATCCAGCTATGATTAACGGGTAAAAATATCACTCAGTCTACTGTCTCTCTGTTTGCAATTTCATCTCCTGTCATTAAAGCTGTGTTAGAGGACAGGGCTTACACTTGAGTGAACTAACTCGCACCCACAATTTCCATTTCATCCAAAAAAAAAAAAAAATGCAACATTACAGCCTGCTTGTCTTTTCGCCTCTTCAAGCAAACATCTGACATCCATACAACATCCCAATGTGTTTTTCATTAACCTTTATTCAACCAGGCAATTTGAAATGAAAGGAAAACATCTCTTTACAGACACAGTGTTCTTCAGCAGAGGATTATACTAGAGGAGGAGAAAAAAAAAAGAAATAAGATATAAACAAAAAACAACCGCGGTAAAGACAAGGACACCACAGAGGCAATAATAATCCTTGGGGGGAAAAATAAAATCATGTGTGGCAGTATGAAAAAAAAAAAAAACAGCCAGCCATGCAGGGAATACAAAGATAAATGAAAGCAGAGGTCTTTTTTTTTTCTGAAGAGCAAACATTCAGCTGGAGTCTGTGATGACTTCCTTGAAGGTTCTTGCGTCTGAAAACTGGGCTCTAACTCAGCTGCTGGATGACAGGCCAGGAATTAAGCCTTGAGGAGGGCACTATATTACAGCAGCAAAGGCTTTGCCCCCCCCCCCACCTGATAGACCCACTCAGTACTACTCTCAGTGTACGTGTTGGGAGATCAGGGATGTCATCAAGCGAGATAAACGCCGGCGAGGCAAAACAGAATGAAAAAGCAGCTGCGATAAAGCCTTCAGAGAGCAGAGTCATGCTTGTCACATGTTCACGCAGGATCAAAGGCTTTTTTCTCACTGCACATCCCACCAAGAGGCGGAACGAAATTCATCCAAATAAACACTTGATGCTGGGATTTCCACGTCAGTGGCCAGAGGGGGAAATGAAATGAAACAGGCGGTGAATGGATATCGGATTGTTTCAGCAGAATGGCTCAGGGCAGTGTTATTTGGAATACATTTTGGGTTATAATGAGATTTCTCAGTGTGACGAAGTGACTGCGGAAGGAGATTAACCGCATCTAAAGAGCAAACCTGTGTTTTAGGACTGCTGTCAAACAGCCCATACATTGACACTGACCTGAGGTAATAAAGTAAAACCATTTCAACAATGACACCAACAACATCATTCAGGAAATGAAAGAGGCCACGCACTATTCCCAACTTCTGCAGCACTGCACTGTAAGCAGGCCGCTGCAATCTGTACCAGAGCAGCAGGTCTGGGACAGGTGACACATTCATGTTCTGAACCTACACACGCAAATGAAATGTAATGTGTTCCGACACATGGCACACTTCACACTTTATTCACACACGCCCAATTGGCGCCTGCCGCGAGGTGGAACGCACAGTCTAATCTGTAGAATAAAAACTCCCCTACATGTCTTTCCACTTCATGTTACATTCATGCATGTATTCATATGAAATGGGCAGCGGGGTGATAGCAGCGCTGTAACGAATTGATGAAGTGGTGTAAGTTGTGTTAAATGACTTTTTCAGTCTGTTCCACTATTGACTGCCTCCCCTCCACGTCCAGCCCCCATCCTGTGAGTTTTTGGCATCTTTTATTCATAAATCCTTTTTTTTTTTTTTTTTCTTCGCTCCAGGAAAGGACAGAGAGAGAAAATGCAAATGCCTGTGCTTTTGCCTGTGTTTTGACAAAAGGGTAGGAGCAGTCAGGAGATAGCAAGACAGATGCAAAAACAAAAATGACATGTTTTTTATGTCGAAAAAGTGAAGGAATTATCAATCCTGTGCATTTCCCCAGATGTGAGGCTGAAGTGAGATAATGCGTCCTATAGTCCTTCAGTGCTGTCAAGTGAAAATTGTATGAAGAATAAACAAAAATGTCAGTAATCATATGACCTGTGTCCTAGTTTGTGTGTCAATCGTCACTTATCTAGCAAATATACCACATCTGGCATTTATAGATTTTTACCATATTTATATACTTGCCATTCCAGCTTCTTAAATGTGAGGATTTGCTGTTTTTCTCTATTTTACATGATTGTAAATTGAATATCTTTGGGTTTTGTGTGAGTGTTGGTCAGAAAAAACAAGTAGAAGAAGTCAACTTGTGATGGGCTTTGACTATTATATATTTATTATAATACTACACATATGCATATGAAGAGACTGTATATATACCATTGTAGAGATTCATAGATAATGATATTCATCACTAGTTGCAGCCATAAGGGCATTTTTCCATCTGTAGACCAACAGCAAGACTGCAAACATCCCTAATTCTCTGAGGAGGGTAATATTTGATTAAAAGTTATCAGTGGACATCATTACACTCCCATTTACATCTGAAAACCTAACGTTATTGCATTAGTGAATCTCATGGAAACTGGCCCTTACAGAAGTGAAACAAAGTCAGCCATCAAATCTATGATTGGAGTTATAATTAGGGTTGTGTTTTAGGGAAAGGGAATGTAATCGAGCACATTAAATGGCTTAATGTAGCCTGACCACGGGGCATATTCAATTAGACCAGCAACTCATAGGCACAGCCCAACATTATTATTACTACAAGAGCGTCATTCACAGTATTATATTATAACATGAGCCTTTTTGACACTATTTTGTCAATGCAGCAGTTCCTCTTAAAGAATGTGTCTCTGCATTGCGTCACACAGATTCCTCTACAGTACTTTACTATGTTTTTTACGATTCATTCATCATCAAGGTGGAATCAAAGAAAGCAGATTTAAGCTTCAGCACTTCTTGTTCACCTGTAACACATCTTTCGAACACAGACTAGGCTTGGAGCATTTATTGATTTATCATTTGCTTAAGGGGAAACAATGACCATCACAAAGTTTCAGGAGCTCTTAAGGATTTTATAATGATATAAAACAGAGAAAAGCAGCTAATCCTTACATTTGAGAAGCTGGATCCAGAGAATGTTTGCCATTATTTTTTCTTGATCGATGTTTATTAACTGACTAAAATCACTCTTCATGTGATGACATTCAAAATATTTCTGGATTTCTGAATATCAAGCGTTGACTAGATTTAAGTTTCGCAACGTCACGATCGAACAAATAAAACCCAACAGCCTCTTCAAGTGCACACATGAATCTCTTCAACATGGTAATCCATCCTGCTGCCAGGGTTTGGCCCCTGGAGAGTTCATCTATCACTTGTTTCTACAAACACTGTAACATAACGGTTTGTGTCAGGTCTCTGGAGCAGCGCACTCCTGTGATGAATTGAAGTCCATTTCTAAAATGCTGTACACTCTCTTGGGGGTGGGGGGTGGGGGAGTCATTGCCTGAAGTTCATAATTCAATACCTTCATGACATGAATCATTATGTGTTATCAACCTTGAACATAAGCTGTACGCTGCCCTTCAGAAAAGGACAAGAAGCCTTTCGTTTGCTGCTTTCATGGATGTGAAGACGTTGTGTTTTTATTTTTAATTCCCAAACGGCAGATTCATCCCTGAAGAAGCCATCGCCATCTGCTGAACTAAAACTATAATCAATCATCATTTTATTCATCTACATTAAATATTGAGATTAACATGGCCTACCTGTTGAAAGAAAATCTGAATATTAATGTAAATGCAGTTGCAAAGGGCAACAGCATATACATATGAGGCATTACTCTTTACTTTTATCATGTTTGAACACTTTTAAATTATGCAAGGGATAAACAAACACTAAGCAATAGACTGCATTAATTAGCATTAGCAATTGATGGTGAACATAAATCAGTTTTCGCAATGTGCTCATCAGTGGCCTATTAAGAAAAAAACAATCATCACATTCTCCATCTGATTAAAACTAATCAAAAACAATTATCATGATCCATTAAGGAAATTGTAAGTCACTCCGCCTGTGAAATGAGCTGTTGGATGAAGGGAAAGAGGAAGTAAGGAGTCTTACCTTGTTCAGAGCGCTCATCTCACCTCTCTGCACCGAGTTAAAAAAAAAAAAAAAAAAAAAAAAAGCAGAAGAAGAAGAGAGGGGGAAAAAATGTGCTAATTTTCTCTGAATATTAGTCGTGCGTTCTTCAGTCCGCCACACAGAGCACGGAGAGGAAAGTCAAGCGCTCCCTCCACTCGTGCCATCCTCCTCCTCCTGCCTTCTCTGGCGAGAGTTGGAGTCACAGTGGACCACCCCACCTGATCCTGCCAGGCCCCGCCCCCTCTGCCCGCTCGTACCTTTCAATTGGCGTCTGTGCACGTGCACTGCTCATTTACACACTATGTGTGATCCGGTAACCTCGGAGACAAATGACCAGGCTGTTACAGTTTATTATTAAGGAACAATAACTGAGGCAAACTGATATAATTCTACATGTTTATTACAAATAACAACAAGCATAGAAAATGAGAGATTATAGAAGCCT